GTCCTTCGGTTAGTGAATGTCTTCTGAGATGAAGAGTGAGTGCCTTCTGAGTCGTGAAACATTTGTCACAACTATTTTGACTGCATTTAAATCTATTAAATCAAAAACCAAATCAATTAGCGGTCAGCAAAGACACCGTCAATACTCACGGCTTGTCCTCGTAGTGTCGGATCAGATGGACTCTGAGATCGCACTTCTGGTAAAACTGTTGATTACAATCTTCGTTGTCGTCTTTGTGCCAACATTTGTACGGCTTTTCATTGATATCTGCAATGATTGACACATTAAAAACCATTGAAACATAACTTCGGGATCAATGGCTCACGTCTTCGGATGTGTCGGACGGCTATAGAGCTCTTGTTAGTGACGTAATGGCAGTCATCGCGAAGACATCGGTAGTGTTGTCGACCGTCTCGTCTGAATCGGTGGTAATATTGGCTATAATTGTCGACACAATCGACGTTCGCATACATTGACGACAATTGGCTGTCAATTGTGGCCACATATTCGGGAAGCGCTGGTCTGTCCGCCATTGCGGCCATCGATGGATCCGTCGACGACACTGTCATGTCTGCCATCCCTGATATGTGTCCTCTCGAGTGAACCAAACGATCAGTTCATTGAACGACAAATCGCTTCAAAGTATGTATGAAATGAATGACAGTTTTGTTCATATAATGGACTCAATGTTTGCCACATATTGTATAGCGTTATAGACTTAGACATCAATTACTACTCTATTTATGAAGTATTCGTACAAATGGTCTCTTTTTATGTCCATTTGGCCCAACATTTGGTCCAATAATTAAATGCATTTATTTGTAATTACAAAAATTTAGGCCAATAGTATGTCCAGTATTTGTGTTCATCATTTTTAAATGATCATGGTCACTCTATCATTTTTAATTATTATTTTTATTCTACTGTATTATATTAGTGATAAAAAGTTCACCTAGATAATAATTCTTGCAACCAGAACTCAAGCCAACAATATTTAATTATAATAAGCTTATTGAATGTTATTTTAATTTGTAAATTAAATTAAAATGTCAAAGATTTGTGTTTTTTGTTTCAATTTTGTAAAACTCAGTGTAACATTAAATTTGCAATAGCAATATTTAATATTTTCATGTATTACTGTTAATTGTATTGAATTCATAAATGTTACTTCTGTAAAATGTTTTGCTTTTATTATTAAAACAAATATTTAATATTACGTTATAAATTAATTGCCAACTTTTTATGTAATAATAATACAAATTATATGATATTCAAGAATATTCTATAGAAGAATTTTTTATTGACAAATTAAAAACCTTTCTAAAATTATTATTTTAAAATAAAGTTTTTTACTTTATATCAATTTATGACATATTGCAATTGCAAGGATTAAAGTACACATAAACCTGTACTTTAAATGATTTCTTTATATCCATCGGAATATTCCTATATTCCTATAAATCTGTAATCAAAATGAATGCATTAAAACACGCAAACAACTAATTATTGCGGTTTAAAAACTCAATCTTTATTATAGTAATGTGTTTAGGAATTAGAAAACTATTAAACAAAAAGAAAAATGTATTGTTTGTTATTAATAAGATATATGTAACGAGTTTTTACACAAGTATTTTAATGCAATAATAAAATAACAATTCAGTAAATAATAGTTTGTAATAAATTTTAATCGATAAAGTAATAAACTATTGGTTTTCAAAAACAATTACATTTGTTAATTTTTTCATTTTATGCAAAAAAATGTTTGCTTCTGTTCTTGAAATCATTACATATTTATAGATCATTAAAAATGTTTTTTAAACATGTTAGTTTGATTTTATTAATCAAAATTGGGACATATTTTGTGAAAAGCAATGAATGTATTAAATACGATGAATTTGAAGCCGCCTTAAAATCCACAATGAAATCAATGAAATTAATGTCTTCAGCAAAAGACGATGAATCTAATGATAATAACAGTACGTCTAAATGCAATCATCAATTTAAATATTATAGTTATTTTAAATAATTTATAAATTAAACTAAACAATCAATAATATCTCACAGAAACTCTACAAACTTCCGATGAATTGGCTAAAGACAGGGAACAGATCAAGTCATTGCCTTCATGTCTGTCATATAGATTTTTAAAAATAATTTAAAATGTTGTAAAAATATATATTAATTCTCAATATAGACGATGGGATGGCTTTGAAAATAAACATGACTTTCTATATCGATGATATTAACTCAATATCAGATGTTAATATGGTATTCAATGAATAATTACATTTTTACAAATTTTATAAAATATAACAATTATAAACAGGATTTTAGAGTAGATTTCTATTATATGATGGAATGGACGGCAAAGAACCCAGATTGTCACATGTATCAGAATTCACTGAAAGGCAGACATATAAGTGTGGAAAACGTGACCCAATCTAACAAATTGATTATCACTAAAGACTATTTCACGTTGTTTTGGTTGCCGGACATTATGGTCGCTAACGCTAAACAAGTGAAACAACAGTCGGATCTCATCGAAACAATACTCCTTATGATACACTTCGACGGAAATGCCAGAGGTTTTAGTCAATACTTATTATTACATAATTCATTCATATTTACGATTGCATTACAAGAATATAATAGCAATGAAATGAGAGAGTGTTACAAAGTATAGCAAAATAACCATAATCATTGATTATTACAATAGAGAATTGTCACATGCAATATATGGCGCGATTCTACTCAATAGTGTCGTGTCCGATGGACTTTCACGACGCGCCCGTAGATTCCCAGATGTGTTCAATACAATTGAGAAGTTGTAAGTTTGAAATAATTGAGAATTCAATTTGAATTACATAAAAATAAATTAATAAAATGCATTTATAAAAATATTTAAATAAAGTCGCGTTTGACAATAAGAGGATTGAACTGAATTGGACTGAAAAGGTTAGGGATAATCCAGATTTACGACTTTTAGAGCACGACTTTACCACATCGGAAGAAGTGATGACAACGAAAATGTTTAACCGTTTGTTTTTTAGTTTTATTTGTTGCATAAATATATTTCAACGATTAAATTAAATTGAAATTAATATATGGTTTAGAGACATATTCCACGCTTAAGGTAAACATCAAATTCCAGCGAAACGTTGCAAACAAATTGGTGGGCGTTTACGCGCCGAGCATTTTAATAGTGTTGATCACGTTTTGCTCGTTTTGGTTGGGACTCAACTCCACACCCGAAAGGGTGACCATTGGTATAACCGCTTTGTTAGCACTCGTCACTCAATTCAATGACGCTCGCGGGTCATTAC